AAATTCCCCATGTTACTATCCTAATTACCAAACACTCCTATTTATTCCCAATATAGATAGAAGTTTTTAAAATTAGGTTTGGGATCAAAAGAAGTCACACCTTGGCTTTTATTTTCTTCTTTTTTAGAGCTAGAAATTATGTTAAAACATGATTAAACTTTCAATAAGGGTAAAGAAGATCTCGATCGAAGAGTTTGACTTATTATTTTATTTTAATTCTTTCATAGATTTTATTGCTTAATTTTATTTTTGAGAGATTATTAATTATTTTTAGATTTGAAAACTTCAAAAATTCTATTAATCAAATTTCATATAAGATTAGTTATGCTCTTTTTATGTGTAATTTGTTAGAATATAATTTATTGGTAGATTTGTTTTGTGGGTTGATTAAATATATTGTCGCTCTCAGATAATTCTAAGGATAGATCAGTTTGTTATTCATTAAAATTAATTTCTCTCACAATAAATACATTAGTTATTATCGGTTTTCAAAGTTAAATCTTCCAATCATTTGTTTGAGATATGAAATATGCAATTGAGTAATAAAAAATAATCAAAATTTATAACAATTAAATAAATCAATTAAATGAACCTTGAAGTCTTGTTCATCATAATATTGTTTTTAATCCTTTATAATTACCATCTTTTATTTCAATATTTTTATTCTTAATTTTAGAAATCATCTTTTAATTTAATTTCTCGTTGTGACAACTCTTTTTATTGGTTTAATATAGCTTTCGTGTGGATTCAACACTTAAAGCTACACTACAATAACTACTTAGCCGAAAGGTATTAATTTTGGGGCGAGACATCAAAATTTGGCATTGTTGCTAAGGAAGCTGAATTGACAATTAGAGTTTGAACATTCTTCACTTTTCTTTTATTTCTTTTATTTGCTTCATTTTCTTTAGTTTATTTTACTTTCTTGTTTTTATTTTATTTTTTTCATTCAAAAAAAGTAAAAGAAAAAGTAGATTACAATGTATGAATAGACTAAGAGACAAAAAAGGGAGATTTATTAAATTAGATCCACCACCCTTTGAAAAAGAAGAAGTCAAGTCTAATTCATCCTTTAATTTTGAAACCGTGAGTCAAGACGGTGATCAACCTGTTAGGGCTTTGAAAGAGTACTTGCACCCCACTAGAACAGCTATACCAGCATGCATAATGTTTCCTCCTAATACACCACACTTTGAGTTCAAACCTAGAATGATTCAGTTTTTGCCTAGTTTCCATGGTTTAGAGAATGAAAATCCAAATGTTCATGTTAGGGAGTTTGAGGAGGGAGTAGCTCTTTTTCATAGTTGAGCTGATACTATAGACAATTAGGTTGAAATTCTTTCCCTTCTCCTTGAAAGACAGTTAAAATTTGGTTATATTCTTTGAGATTGAGATCTATAGGTACATGGGTAGAGATGACTCAAGCTTTCTTTAACAAGTAGTTTCCACATCATAAGACGGATAATTTTAAAATACAGATCTCAACATTTTCTCAAAAGGATAGTGAAATCTTTTACCAAGAATGAGAGAGGTTTAAAGAATTACAAAACTAATGTCCACATCATGGATATGAAACTTGGAGGTTGGTTAGTTAGTTAGTTGTTTCTATGAGGGTTTAACTAGTAGGGAGCGTCAATTCATAAAGATGATATGTAATGGGGAGTTTTTGCATAAGGACCCAAAAGAAGCCATAGATTATTTAAATGAGTTAGCTGAAAAAGCTCACACTTGGACAGGACCTAGTGCCACTGATAGTATTAGTAGGTCACAATCATTTGGGATTTACCACCTTAGGGAGGAAGATAACCTTAAAGCCCAATTGGAAGCTGTAACTAGGGAACTTAAGACCTTAAAGACGAAAAATAATAGTCACCCACACAGTTGCTAAGGTTGGAACTTAGGCTCCATGTTTTGTCTATGGGGGATTGGATCATTTAGCTCAGGATTGCCCAACCTATGGTGAGATGAGAGGGGTTTATGAAGAACAATGCAATGCATTAGGAATGGTTAGGAAACCTTTTTCACCTTATTCTGAAATGTATAATCCTAGTTGGAGGAACCATCCCAATTTTAGTTGGAAAAATGATCAGAACCATCCCACATCATCCAACAATACTTGGAATAGTGAAGCTTAACCACTTAGGTCTTACCCTACATTGGAATACAATGCACGACTAGGTAGGAATCCTTTAGAGGAAACACTTAAGGCATTTACAGAGGCACAGACTAAGACTAACCAAAAATTTGATTCTATTCTTAAACAAGTGGTTGAAGAAAACAAGGATATCAAGAGTCAACTAAGTTCATCAATGCTTTTACTATCCAAGAGCGAGGTAAGATTCCATCTCAACCTCAAGCTAATCCTAAAAATTTACAGTTGGTGTAGGAATCTACCTCTGATTCGGAGAACATTAAAGGGTTAGTGCTATCATTACTCGTACTGTTAAGATTATAGAGCCATTGCAAAAATCACCTCAATTAAAAGATGCTACTCCAAGTAGCCATGAAGGTGACCTGCTGAAAGAACCTGAGAAGGAGGGTTCAATTTGAGTTCCTTTCCCTCAAGCTCTTAGAACTAAAAGGATTTCAAACAACCAATGTGAGATTTTAGAACATTTGAAACAAGTTAAGATTAATCTACCTTTGTTACATGTGATTAAACAAGTACCAATTTATGCCAAGGTAATCAAGGATCTATGCACCATGAAAAGGAAACACCATGTCAAGAAAACTGCATTCTTAATAGAATAGGTAAGTGCGGTGATTGAGCAGAAAACACCACCAAAGTACAAAGATCCAGGCTGCCCAACAATTGCTTGCCAAATTGGGTCACAAGAGTTCGATCAAGCTCTTTTGGATTTAGGAGCAAGTGTAAATTTAATGCCTTACTCAGTTTATTTGCAGCTAGGTCTTGGAGGGATAAAACCCACATAGATGGTGTTATAGTTGGCTGATCATTCTTGTAAGAAACCAAGAGGGATAGTAGCAGATGTTTTGCTTCAAATTGATAAATTTTATTATCCTGTTAATTTTCTTATTTTAGATACTTAGTTTGAAATTAACAATGAGTCAAAGATTCCACTTATTTTAGGAAGACCATTTCTTGCTATTGTTAATGCTTTATTAATTATAGGAATGGTTTGATGCAGCTTTCATTTGGGAATATGGCTCTTGAGGTGAATATTTTTCATGTTGGGAAGCAACTACATGATGATGATGAGGGTTATCAAACCTACATGATAGATTCATTGGTTGAGGAAATATATGAAAGGGAAAAATTTTGAATCTTTAGAATACCTCCTTGGTGACTCTGATTTAGATTTTGACTTTTTGAACTATCCTGTTAATGGTCATTCTAATGTTATGCAGGATAAACAACGAAAATTTTTACAACCACGTTTTGAGGAGTTGCTATATGATAGAAAACATTTAAAGCCATTTTCAATGGAGATGCCAAGTGTGGAGTTATCCCCACCTTTTGAAGGATTGAAGCATGCATATTTGGGAGAGTCTTCCAAATTATTGGATAATGGTTGAGACATTATATGGAGCAAGTAGACCAACCTGAGGAGATCATTCTTGTGGCTCCCATCTACGACACTTAATCAGGTTCTATCTTTACATCATATCATTTTTTTTTCCTTTTGTTTGTTTTTGTTTTTCTTTTCATAGCCTTTCTTCTAGTAGTTTTTCTTTTATTAGATTTCTAG